TCCCATTAGACATCGTGGAGATTCAGTTTCGGCAAGTCGAGGTCTCTGTTGGTGTTTAACGGAGCCGCAACGATTTGTGGTTTTCGCAACTTTTACATCTCAGCGAGCTTCGTTTCCGCCTTCTGAAATGAGGGTGGTCTATGCGTCTCGAAGGAAAACAGATTATTTGAAAAACGCGCGTGAATTGTAGCATTTTTATAGGATCACATTGTTTACTTGTTGGGAAAAGGGGCGTTTTTCACCACAGACGTCTCTAATTGGAGGACATTTGAAATTCGAGTCTTCGGGCAAAGTTCAGCATTATACGACAGCAAGACACGCGCTCAAAGTTCACACAACCCTCAGCCTGATTAGCTTGTCGTTGTCGAGTCTGGACAAACTCTCGGAGTGCGTTTGACCGTCCTACCGCAGTCCTTCGCCCTGTTCAACGTTGCACGGACCAAGGAACAGCATTGTTGCTCAAAGTGGCCCCAAGCAAGGGAATTAGTCGATTACTGACAGCGCAGCGAAGCCACGCGAGTACCAACGATCGTTGACATGCATATTCTTCGTCGTGGAACGCATGCTTGCCAGAGGAAATGCTTACCTCATACTGGTGCTTTGGCAAAGTTCACTGCCACTCTGCATTTATCGAGTGACGTGTAAATTCGGAATCAAAGGAAAATCGATGTGTCAGCAAAGAAGCAAAGTGAATCGATTGAGCGCTTTCGAGATCAAGAAGGTTGAAATTTGCCAGTAATTATGCATTTATAAGTAAAATTAATCGTATATGAGTATAATGAGCACGCCATTAAGTCAAATCGTGCGGTACCGCTTGTGAGCTGCAATTAGTACCTGTTTGTTGCGGTGTGTAGAACAAGAGAAATTGTTTAGATCGGTCTCACAGATGAAGCGCAAATGGAAACGTTCGACGAACAAACAGCAGTGAATGCTCGACCTTATCCGCACCCTCAGCCGCACCCGCACCCGCACCCGCAGCCGCAGCCACAGCCGCACCCGTATCCGAGTTCGAGCCCGAGTCTGTGTCCGT